TGGCAAAGTTTAGAATACCCTTAAAGCTCGAGATTATCATAAACAACTCCAATTTTAACATACAACACGTATATGTACATATTGTTTTGCATAACAAATAAGGTATTTAATTCCAAATGGCAAAATTAGGAGTTGCACACATCATAGAGTTACGATATATGTTCCCCTTCTATATTTTGGTAATTTATTGTTTAATTATCCTCTTATGCAAAACTTACAGAAGATTCTCATTTTTATTTTGATATACACCTTTTTGCTTGGGAAATTCTAGACACATTAACGCAAGGTGGGGTACAGTGTTTAGACTTTAAAAAGTTGTTTGAACAAGGAACATACTCCAGGTAGGTGACATGTTGAAAATGCCCTACTCTCAAGCATTGGTTGTTGGGGCCAAGTTAGGGAGCCACCAACCATAAGTTTTCTTGTGAACATAGGTCACATGCTTGACTTTGTCAGCGACGCTTTTGAAATGGACACAACGCTTTTTATAGTCACAGAAGATCTTCGCATTGCCATGTTCATTGCCACAATGGACTTGCATCTTCTTCCCACCAATGTAGACGGGGTCCTTCAGGCGTGTCACATTGTCATATGTGGCACAGAACAAACCCTTCTGGCTTTACATAGTTCGCAACACAGTACCTCCAATAGAATAGTCTCTCAGCATCAGCTTTCGGATGAAGCTCATTGATCAATCGGTTTAAGCGTAGAGACTCCTCAATGGCAGTCCTTTTCCCCCTGATGAGGCTCCGCCCCACCTGCCATCACTCCGGGCATGGATGAGACGAAGCAGATGGAGATCGACATCGGCGGTGGCGGTTGGCGAATACCGCAAAGGAGACACAGGATCACGGGGGCATGGCCACGTAGGGTGTTGCCTCGTCGGGGACAGGACTAGGTGCATTTTGATATACACTTTCATGATAGGACCTCAATGATCTTCATAAAAGATAATAGTGTCTTATATCCTATATGCATCAATGTATTTGGATCAAAACTATTTTCCATATGGTATTAGATATTTTAGAATCATAAATTGGATATCATGATGGGAAGGAGTATAACTGTAATATCGTTTGGCCCAAGGTAGTTAATGACGATGATGTCTATTTTGTTGTTGACTACCTTGTTTTGCTTATGGCACAAGATTATAAACCGGATACAATACTTGTGGTTAGTATTCGATGTAAGTAATCATCTTTTAATCATCTTGAAATAATTATTACTTTTGAGCTCTCATATTTTAATTTATTTCTTTGTGTAGCACTTGGTAATGTTGGCAATGCTATGTGAAATCTGCTATAAAGAAAATGCAGTTTCACTTTCTATATTTTTTGTGTATTTTGTAAAATCACATTAGCTAACATTTTCTGTGGTTCCTCTAAATCCAACTTCTTTAGTTTAAGAAATCATTGGTACTTGTTCCAGAAGGAGGGGTTACAATACATATGTTATCCACAACTAGTGACTACATCTTTACCATTTTGTAGACAAAGGTGGTTATGTAATTGTTATCTTTGGTAGGCGTGAGAGAGACGGATTGGAGGGTACAACTATGGAAATTAGGGGCGATTAGAGGAGTGTTGTGGTAGGTACGTGAGAGAGATTGGAGGGTTAAATTATGGAAATTAGGGGTGATTAGAGGAGGGGAACAACTGCCCTAGGATTAGCCATGCCTCGGAGAGAGGAGAGAGGCATGGGGTGGCGAGAGAGGAGGTGCAGATCTAGGCGAATGGTGGGTGGACTGCCACCTAGGGCTTGAGTGTGAAGAGGCCGAGAGCCATAGATTTTTTGCTTAGTCTATTCTTACTTTCTTCTAATAGTCCAATAGTTATATCTCCTTTATATTTATAGGGAGGACCCAACCTGACTCACTTGATTTCCTATCTTTTGGACTCTTCCTAATTCTAGAGCTAGATGGGTTCCATGTGGCACTATATTATGTGCTATTGGGCCCTATTAGCCCGTCCTGGGACCAACACCTTGAAGGCCCATTTAGAACCATGACATCACTCCCACTTTTCAAGACAACACGTCTATGTGCAACAATTTGTCGCATGCTCCTTGTAGAGTCCTCATTCTCCTTGTAATGTCACGGTTGGAGTTGATGTCATAGCGAATGTCTTTTATTTTTGTCGATGTGTTGAAGCCCACCTGATGTTGCCACTTGCCTAGTCGGGATGGTGCCATGGTTGTCGCATGAGGTAGCCCCATAATGATGAATGGGACAATGTTGGATGCTTTATCTTGCTTGTAGTAGTAGGACTGTGATGATAGCGTAATAGTAGACGGTGTTGCTGATGTCGAGAAGGCCATTAGCAAGGCTGTTGTTTAGTTGTAGCGGGGTAATAACAACATCGTAGATGGTATTTCCAGTGGTAGCTTAGACGTAGTAGACCATGCTGATGTTGAGAGCAGCTTGCAAGCGATGCTGTGACAACTTTATTTTTTGTTCCTCCTGACGGCGGTGATATTGTAACCCGTTTGACTAGATGCGTATTGGTTTACCTTGTTTGCTTGAGTTGTTGATGTGTTGATGAGGTCACCGAAGAGGATGACGTTGAAGTTGTAGGTTGGCTGTGAGATGGGAAGGTAGCGGTGTCTATCAAAGATGACCCTATCATCTATGCACCAAGCTCATGTGGCCTTCCTGCTGTTGATGGTGTTGGTAATGAAGCACAAACTTGGTGTGTTGAAGGTGTTGGTTTGTGGGTGTGTAGCTATGGTGATGAAGCAGGTCTTGTAGCATGTAAGTGGTAGGGGTACTAGGTGCGTCTAATTTCATTGAGGAAGAGTGGGTGCCAGTGCTGGTAGGACCAAGCTAAGACAGTTCGCGGTGTTGGCCTACTGTCGACTCATATGAGTGCCATGGCACGGCTGTTTTTCTCTCAACGTCAGCTTCGATGCGAGCTCCGATCTACGCACCATCTTCTTCAAGGATGATCTACCAGTCCTCGACGCGCGGTGACCATGTTGCCCCTCCTTCGAGTTCGTATGGATAAGCTTCGCCCTACCCTGAGTAAAATTCTTTGGATGGCTCCTCACCCCAAGAAATAATACACTACCGAATGTCACTCATTCACAAGAACATCCTGCAGGAAGCTAGATGCGATGTCTGCGAAGAAGAGGACGAAACCACAGGCCACATATTCTCATGTTGCTCCTTCGTGCACTGCTTCTGGGAGAGGATTGGCCGGAGACCGAAAGGGATCGCCAAGGTCACTGAGCTCTGGAGAACACAAGTACTGCCACAGATACACAAAAGCGTGGTTCATCCCCTAATCCTTCTTTGTTGCTAGGAGATTTGGAGACACCAGAACGACATCGTGTTCAGACAATTGGAGCCAAGCGTCGGCCGGTTGGTAGTCGCCTACAAGGAGTCCGTCAAGTCGTGGAGTCAGAGACTCAAGAAGGAACGACTCCATTTCATGTAACTCGAGGAACACCTTTGCTATGTTAATCTCTCCCCCATCCCACACCCTCTACAATTGTAAACTTGGAAGGCCATGCCCTATCCACCCCCGGTTTCACCAAAGATCGGTGGAATGAAAATTAAGTGGGGATCAGTTTGATCCCCTAGCTTGACCTCAAAAACTTTGAAGGATGCTCCACAACATGAGATGCGACTGTTGTTGCCCATGGCAGTGTCGATGCTATGTTCAGCAAGTCTAGCTAGCCTGGTGACGATAGTGTTGATGATGTTGCGTGTGGCTCATGTGTCGTTGAGGATGCAGGCTCTTGTGCTAGGTATGGTGCAACTTAAGTCGCATTAACGAAAGGAGTAGTAAATTAATTTGGAACGGAAGGAATAGTAATTAATTCACCATAGTGACTTATAATTTACAGCGAAAGGAGCAGTAATTAATTCACCTTGGCGGAGTTGAACATGTGTTTGCATGGTCATGAGCGTGCATATGCATGATGGTCCCTGACAGATTAGTCTGTGCGTTGTTATTAAACCACTTCCTTTGCTCTGATCTTCTGCTAAAAAAATTACGAGCAAAGTTTAACACCTGTCGAAAACGGACATCGGTTAAAGTGACATCCTTTGCTGAGCAATACGAGATCTCAGCATTCATTTCCGTTCGATAGACAGCGCAGGCCAACAGTTCGTTTCGTCGTAAACGATCGTGGATTATTTACTGTTGGCTGGTTTGCTGTGACAGAAAAATACTATTTCAGCTTATAATCCACGATCGTATACGAGCAAGCGAACAGGCTGACTAATGTGTGCCTCTGTTCACTCTGACAACCGGTCCCACAGACTCATTGCCCACCTGTCAAGCACCATAGACTAGCCACTGCAGAAACACAAATAGACTAGCTATCTGTGGACGCGATCTTCAGATCTAGTATAGTATAGTTATAAGTTTATTTGTACACGGGTCGTGTGAGTTGTGTGGACGTGCGTGTGTATAAACAGATGCTACAGCTATACTCAGGTGAGAGGCAATAAAAAAAAAGACTAGCCATCTGTGCATGCGCATGCACGCCTTGGCCCGCCGCGTGGTGCGCATCGGCCAGCACCAGGTCTCCACTGCCTGCCGTCGCTGACTGGACGTGACGACGAGCAAAAGATGCATGGGTGACGCAGTTGTAGCTGTAGCTGTGAATCTTTGAGAAACCAGGCAGCTGCAGCTCTCCATGACTGTTGACTGCGGAGTGAGGACGACGGCGCTCCTCGCCTCCTCCTCTCCTAGAATCCCTTGGCCTGCATGCAGTTGGCATATCTTTTTATTTTATTTTATTTATTCATTATTATATATATAAGGCGGCTACCATATCTTGGCGAGTCGTTGCAGACTTGCGAGCCCAGGACTCGTCCACATCTATTCCTTCCTTGTTCGGCCGCTCTGCTTCGTTCGTCGTCCCCTTACACCCTTACACTTCTCCTTCTCGCCCCGGCGGCTGGGCGGCCATTGACGACTAGAATTTCAGTCTTGTTCTTGGGAAGGAAGGACCCAAAGAGAAGAGGAGGAGGAGGAGGAGGAAGCGCCGCCATGACCGGTGGAGGGGAGGAGCAGGGGAGGTCGCTGTTCGGCGTGTCTCTGACGGACCGGCCCAGGTGGCAGCAGTTCTTGATCTGCTCCTCGGGCTTCTTCTTCGGCTACCTTGTCAATGGCATCTGCGAGGTACGTCAGTTCTTCGTCTTCTCCCTTCTCCTACGATCCTCCTTCGGCATACAGTATCGATGAAGAAATGCAGTCAATTCTCTGGTACGGTGAGAGGTTCTGTTTCTGTAACGAGAATTCGTGGCCGTGACGCCGTATTGTTGTGCCATTTTTTCGTGCTGATGCCAGTACTACCATGGAAATTGCTTGAAATTATACGGTTGCTTATAGGCAGAAAAAACAGGTGCAATTGCGTAACACACAAAACTGCATTTTTTCTTCCTCCTTGTTTCCGTCGTCATGGACTTTTATACGCTTGCTTAGTCAGCGTGGTTTTATGAAACTTTCGCAAGCGTTGCAGAGAAGAATTTCCCCAGGCTTTAATTTCACTGCCTGCACTAATTTCCCTGACAGCGAAACTTCAGCTCACGATTATTCTCCCAGTTACCATCTTTTCTGGCTAGCTAATTCCTGCTCTTGTCTTGCTCCAGGAGTACGTGTACAACAGGCTTCAGTTCAGGTGACCTTATGACTGCACTAGCTACAATACACGCATGCCTTCATCCGTACCACCTGAAAGAAGTGGAAGTGATCACTTGCTGCTACGCTTTTTCTGAAACCTGAATTGTTTCGCCGTGTGCCTGCAGCTACGGCTGGTACTTCACGTTTGTGCAGGGATTCGTGTACCTGGCGCTGATACGGCTGCAGGGGTTCACGGTGAAGCAGATGGTGAACCCGTGGCGGACCTACGTGCGGCTCTCGGCCGTGCTCATGGGCTCCAATGGCCTCACCAAGGGCTCCCTCGCCTTCCTCAATTACCCTGCGCAAATCATGTTCAAGTCAACCAAGGTGAATTCCTTTCTCTCTTTTTTCCACTTCCCCATACAATGGAAAATGCAGTACTCTAAAAAATGTTGGAAGAACAATGCCCAATGTCTTCATCAGCTGGCAATTTGAGTAGCATTGTAGCAGCAGACCTTCCTGGGTTCACGATTTCCCTTTCACCTTTACCTTTTATACATGGTCTTTTTATTTTTGTTTTAGCAAAATAAAGTTTCTTTTGCAAGGAAAAAGTAATATAGTTCTTGATATCACGGTGCAGTCTGAAACATTGTACACAGTTAGTACAGTTATTAAAGAAAAGGTGCAGTGGTGTACCTAGAAATGTCCAATATGAGAGTCCAGCATCAGATTTGATGTTTTGGTTAGGTGCCAAACTAGCCAGCTATGTCATGTATCTTTCTATTTAAGTGGCGTTTGGATTTAGGGATATAGGGGTGGGATAGGAAAGGAAATGGATGAACGGCTAGGATTAAATAAGACGTAAGGAATGGATAGCTAGGATACAATATTTTCTATCCCAATCCTTATCCCTATCCCTATCCATACTTCTCTGGCTACAATGAGAATAACTGGACTGGCAGGATAACATTGTTGATAGATATGATTAGCACGTTTTGGACTCTTCTTTACTTGGCATGTGTCTATTTTAAAAATTCTTGGCAGCTATGGTTTCATTTGATTTCTGTATCTAAGTGACTGAATTTCAAGAAAAAACGATGTATTAGTATAGTAATAATATCACCTTTTAATTTCTCGTCATATGCGATAAAACACAAACTCATGTCAATGTTCATAATGATATATAATTGCAAAGAAACATTTTGCGCAGAAATTTAATATACCAAACTGTATATGCTTACCTTTCCCGCGATTAGTACATATCTTACTTTTTTGACATGATAAGTATATAGTAGAGAGGCATTAATCGGTTTCTGTTTTGTCATCATCACTCATCAGGTTCTACCGGTGATGATAATGGGAGCCTTTATCCCTGGTTTAAGGCGCAAGTACATGTTCCAAGAGTACGTATCAGCCGTGATGCTCGTCATTGGCCTCATACTCTTTACGCTCGCGGATGCGCAAACGTCGCCTAACTTCAACATGATTGGCGTGGCCATGGTGTCCGGGGCACTCGTCATGGATGCTTTTCTTGGCAACCTGCAAGAAGCAATCTTCAAGATGAACCCAGACACGACTCAGGTACTCCAGTTACAGTCTGGTAATTGATTTTTGTTGCTGACAGAATTTACAGTGCTGACAGTCAAGCATTCTGTGAAATTAGATGGAGATGTTGTTCTGCTCCACTGTTGTTGGCCTTCCATTCCTAGCAGTGCCGATGGTGTTAACAGGAGAGCTCATTACGGCATGGACTTCCTGCTCCCAGGTGACTGAACAAGTCTTCCCTTTTCATTTTTCTCTACAGTAGTATTTACATAATAACTATATATGTCACAAGTTATTCTTCCTTTATTGAAAAAAAAATGTCACAACTTCTTATTTGAGTAAAAAAGTCAGATCTCTGCCTTGCCATTATAGTCACTATGAAGTAGTATATACATGAATCTGTCAGAGTTATCTGGCAATGATAAGAATCTTAGTAGCTCACTTTAGCACATCACTGATAATAGTTTCAGAATGTGCATAGCCCAAGCAATGGGAAAGAATCAAATACTCCATGCTCTTTTATTGGTATATATCCTTCAAGGAATCCCTCTTTATAGAGATACAATCTCAAGTCTGAACACTACATTCCTCATCCTGATGACCAGACCTGATTGTCAGGAAAAGGATCAGATCCACTCAAAAAGTGTTGCTACTACTTGCTAGCTACGTAGCTTGTTACTGAAAAGGGTTAGATTGACCAAGCTGAGATGACGTCTTGTTTACTGAAACGCACGCATGCATTCTTGCAGCATCTGTACGTGTACGCGGTGCTGGTGTTCGAGGCGATGGCCACGTTCGTCGGCCAGGTCTCCGTGCTCTCCCTCATCGCGCTTTTCGGTGCCGCAACCACAGCTATGGTCAGCCATCGTTGTTTCGACAATTGGACTCCTCTCCACTCCACCTCGACGACCGATACATGCATCTGCAGCTGGTAACCATGTTGGACTATTCTGCAGGTGACGACGGCGAGGAAGGCGGTGACGTTACTGCTGTCCTACCTGATATTCACCAAGCCTCTGACGGAGCAGCACGCGACGGGGCTCCTCCTGATAACCATGGGCATCGTCATCAAGCTCCTGCCGGAGAACAAGGAGGGACGTCCGCGCCGGCTGCCGAAGAAGACGGAGAGCTCTGGCGACGATGACGACAAGCCCCGGGAGAGCAGAGAAGCGGAGGTGGAGAAGGCAAGCTTGGTATAGTGTGATAGTGACCCGAGCAAAGCAAAACAGACGCCAGCTCGATCAGCAGTCCCAAATGAAATTCAGATCCTCCAAAACAACAGTCCCAAAAGGAGGATAGGATACACGTAGAGGATAGAGCACTACAGGAATAATAACCTCTTTCTTCCTCCCCTCTCTTTTCTCATGTGCCGTGGTTAATGTTATTATGTTAAACCGTTGAAGTACAGGTAAATTCTGCATTTTGCTCTAACATCTTAAGCTTTTCATATATATAGGCCAGAGGTCTGGATTCTAATTAGCGCAAGTAAACAAGAGAGTAAATTACACCTACCATATAACAACTGTCTAGGTGGGTCCAACATCGTGTAATCTGTTCAATTTGGTGTGAAAACTTAGCTAATTAGGATCTGTTTGGCTCCTGCTGTATGTACCTCTCGCCCAACCAGTTGAGTTAGGCACACTTCCTAACGTGCCGCGGCTAAGGCATGGTGTATTGTGTGACTATAAGCCAAACAGGCCCTAAGTGCAAGTACATTCTAAACACTACCACACCGTGTATTTGGCAATTCGGCGTGACGGCCTATTAGGGGATTATTCTCACTGGGAGTTGTGCCATAGCACAATTGGCTACCACTCAGTTAGGGGGGATTACTATCACTAGAAAATATGCCATAGCACAATTAACCCATTGGCTTTATGACTTTGCAGCTAATGAGACCAAGCTGAGTGTGACTTGCCATCCAAGCTAAGAGCAACTATAGCAAGGCCCCTATTTGAGACCCCATAGCTAAATATGGATGCCCAAGCAAAAAAAACGCAGCTTCAACAGAGCCCCTACTAGAGCCCCCAATTTAGGGTGGGCACCCAAATCCACCATCTAGAACCCATTCCCGAGAGGAGAATGGGGCTCACCATTCATACCCCCCATCTTGCTTGTTGCCGCCCGCTTTAGTCCCCCGCGCCCATACGAAAAGTGGCCTCACCAAGCCGAAGCGCCTCCTCTCCGGTGAAACCCTCCCGATGGTTGTGCCCGCACGCGCCTCTCCAAAGAGAGCGGCGGATGCGATAGACTCAGGCACGGGGCCTTGCAGCCACCGGAGGGAGGCACGGAGGCGTGGATCTTCGACAAGATCATCGCCGCTTCGGGACGAGCGATGAACTCCCCACGACGGCTCCTCCTTCCTCGCTTGCGGTCGAGGCTGTTCTCTCCGGCGGCCGCCGCTTTCGGACAAGCGAGGAGTTGCTCAGTTCCCTTCATGCCTGATCGCCGCTTCGGATCGGGCCACCCGCAGCCCCCCCCCCCTCTCCGTCAACTTCCTCCTCGTCGGTCGGCTGCACGGCGAGGTAGAGGTCGCGTCGGCTCCTCTCGTCGCGCTTCGTGGCGGGCGCGAGGTAGAGGTCATGGCCGGGTCCTCGCTTCTCACATTGTGCTCGTAGCCAGGTAGCCGCTCCTCTCGTCGGTGCTCCTTTGCTCGCGGCCGGTTTCCCTGCCCTCTCGCGCGCTCGCGCCCAGGTCTGTCCCCGCTCTTCTCCCTTCCCTCGTTGACATCGTCGGCTTCTCCACTAGCAGTTGATTCTCTTTCCGCATCCGCCAAGGTGTTGTTCGCTTCCCCACCGGCTGCAGTCGATTTCTTTCTCTTGGCCGTAAGTAAGGGCGTTGGATCCGGCTACTAAAATTTAGAAGATGTGTCGGGAGAATGTTGCATGGGGTGTTCGGATACTAATAAAAAAATAAATTACATAATCCGTCAGTACTCCACGAGATGATTTTTTAAGCCTAATTAATCTGTCATTAGCACATGTTTACTGTAGCAAAATATTGTCAAATCATGGACTAATTAGGCTTAAAAGATTCGTCTCGTAAATTAGTCGCAAACTATGCAACTAGTTTCATAATTAGTTTATATTTAATACTTCATGCATGTGTCCAAACATCCGATGGGACAGCAACTAAAATTTAGGAGGGGCAACCAAACACCCCCTAAGTCTATGATGAGTGGGTCCCACGTGTCATCCCCTCAGAGAATAGATTTGGGGGCTCTATTTTAAGGGCCATTGTTGGATTTCAGTGTAGAAAACAGAGACCCCAAAAGTAGGGGGAGCGCCCAAATGAAAAATATGGCCCTGTTTTGGGGGCTACTGTGAATGTGAGTCCCTTTATCGTCCTCACGTCTAAATACACCATTCGTGACATGTTTGAACTAGGCACCAAACAACCAAATACGTGCATCAAGTCGGATAGATTATAAGATATTGGATCAATGTGCAACCAACTAAGCCTATTCGTTTGGAATTAAAGCCAGCCGTTTGGGCAGCTGCTGCTACCATCTAAAGACAAAAAAAAACACTGTAGGAACAGTAGAATTCAGTAGCAGCAGCATAAAGAAGCCAACCGAACAGGCCATAGTTGTTGCATGGTAGGTATAATTTTTTTCTAAATAAAATATTCGTTGATCGCTTTATTTCAAGTCTAAGACATAATAGAACCTTCACGTGAGGCGGAGTGTTGAAATATAAAGTGAATTGTATATCTTTTCTATCATCTTAAGCTTTTGGATAAACTAGTCATCAGTTGGTGTATGGAACTCAATATAATATCAGATGTGAAATTTTACAGTACTTGGAAAAAAATTAGAGCCATCCATTTGGATAGATCAGATGTCTATAAAATAAGAAGAATCAAAGAACTTAAGTTGTGGGCCGGAACCAGAAATATATAGGTCCGGAACCAAGAATATATGAACAAAGAATTATTTCTAAAATAAATTTAAAGCCCATGGATACATGTTCGTAACAACTTATATCATCCTCCCGCAATGTTGACCGAGACCAGTGGCATCATTCTCCTCTATCTTGATCGAGACACAGCGGCATGCTCCCTTGCACTCCATGGTAGTATTAGATTTTTACCCAAGATGGAACCATGCGTTGTTATTTATTTGTTTTCTGCTACACAGGATATACTTTTTGATCAGTGGTCCATGTTCTTACTTCCGACTAATAATGCAGTAAGAAACATGACTATTGTTGGCACAATAGATCATGGAAGTTGTCACAACAATGTAACGGGAAGGTTCTTCGGCTACTACGGCTGGGACGATCTATGATGAATGCTACCAGTATTGGAGGGACTTTCATTTTATCTCTATTAGTCATTGTATCAGGGAATGTAATTCTGTGGCTCATGAGTTAGCTAGGCAAGCTTTGGTAGGCAGAGACTCTTTTGTTTGGATACATGAACTCAATTCTTCACCTGCTTGTAAATGATGTAACCATTTTGTCGAATGAATAAAGCTTGTCGTAAGAATTTCAAAACTAAAACATGTAATCAACCAAAAAAAATAGGCCATTAGTTATGCGAAAAAAAAGAAAATTAATGGATCTCTCGGGAGTCCTCCCGCATTGGTTGTACACTCAGTACCGCAAAAGGTCGCTAAATTATACGATAATACTCTAACACGAGCTTTCGTCCTTATCTGGACGCCGCGCCCACACATCTGCCTCACTACTGTGTTTCCTTACGGCTCGCCTCCTGCTCCTCGCAACGCCCCACCCACCACTCCGCGTTTAACGCAGGTCCTTCATGGCTCCTACAACAACAACCAGTGCCGCTCATCTTCTCCATCGTAGGGGCTGCTGCATAGCAAATACTTCGCTCACCGCAGCCTTCTCCAAATAGTGGGTGGCGCCGCACCCGCCCATCCCATGCTACTCACGCCCAGCGCCGCCACCATCTCGCGCCGCGCCTCATCCACCTAAACCGTCACGACAGGGGGGCTCATGGCTCGCCCCCATCCACCTCGCGCCGTCGGCAGAAAGGGAGGCAGCGCCACCGTAGTTCCCCACCAGGTAGGCTGTGGCCGCCGCGACACTGTGATTCAAGTGTTTTAGGCGTTTTCAGACATGTTGCAAACCTATGTTTCAGTTGTTTCAGATATATGTTTCAAGTGTTTCATCTTTGATGTTGCATATGTTGCTATGGCTATACACGCATGTTTCAAGCGTATGTTTCAAATATTTTCAGACTTACGTTGCAAGTGTTTTTATCTAGATGTTGTAAAAGTATATCTGAATGTTGCATATGTTGCTTTGGTATACACGCATGTTTCAAGTACTTTATCTGTTTCAGAACGTATGTTGTAAGTGTTTTATCTGAATGTTGCATATATTGCAAATAGCTATGTTGCAAGTATATGTTCCGAATGTTTTATCTGTTTCGGCCGTATGTTGTAATTGTTTCATCTGAGTGTTGCAAAAGTAGATCTGAATGTACGTGTAGAGGAAGCCTAAGCCCTCGGTGGTCCAACTGCTACGGCTCCCCATTGTGGCGAGGACGGTATGCCATGGTGGATCGGACGGGATGGGGAGCGGGATGGGAGTGGCGCATCAGGTGGGATGGGGAGCTGGATGGGACGTTGGCGAGGGAGCTGCGTCCGTCGCGGTGCAGGCGCGAGAGCTCCGGGATGGACGTACGCTGCCTCCAGAGCGGGATGGGCACGGGATAAAGGGAGCTATGTTCGTCGGGCGCGCGTAGGACGGACACCACGTCCGGGCGCTACGAATACCCTAAAATTTTTTCGCGATCGTGTCTAGGCACGTTTTTCATTAAGCAGGAAAGAGTTTTGTTACAGCAACCAGTAACAACGGTAATCCAAGGTTACCGAGGTGCCTGAGAGAAACTAAGCCCACACGAGATTGTAATTACGCAAAACAAATTATGCGACGTAACTATAAGATGTATCAGAGAAGCGCCACGAGTGAGCTCAGATGCTTATAGCCTGCCAAGCACCAAGCGTCAATCTCCTCCTGGATCAGGACTCCTAACCGCGCTGTTGATGTTGCGACTCCATTGACAATGAGAAAGAACAAGGAGTCGAAGCCTCGTCGAATAGGTTTAGGGATCATCTTCCTGTTGTGCAGCCACCATTCCATTGCCACTTCTTCTCGGACTATTATGTCGTTTTGGCTAATCCACGAATACCCTAAATTATATGGGCCTCTGGAAATACCTACTCACCTGGTCCAGTTAGGTTCAGACCTGGTGTGCTAGTGTTACGTCTGCATCATTGAGTCCACACTTCAATTCGGCCTCTGTCGGAGATAAGGAACATGTGCTAAATACTAAATTCGCTCTACACCTCTGCCCAAGTGCCCACCACACCAACAGACTGTTCGGTTGGCTGGTTCGTTTTGTCGCTGATTCGCGAAGAAGTACTGTTGGCTGGTTTATGTGAGAAAAAAATAATATTCCGGCTAAAAATTTACTATCATTTACGACAAGCCACGGCCAAACCAACCGACTGCAAACTCGTAAGGATCGATGCACTGGTTGTGGGCGCTCGCTGGACCGGAACTCCTGCGGCTGTGGTACACGGTGGCCGACGCAACGTACTCCTTGCCAGTGCGTGTGATGGGTGACCTGGCGGTTGGCGCTGCCGATGGATTGGATGGAGCTGGAGCCGGAACGACACGGCGCGCCGACGACGCGGCCTGACGGCCGGCCCGTGCATTTATCCTACGTGCACCGCGTACGCAACGTACTACAACGGTACAAGTACGTGCGTGCAGCTGCCACTTATGCCAGGCGCCCAGGCCAGGTTCCAAGGCTGCCATCTGCATGCATGCGCTGCGCCTTGGTTGTTGCCTCATCACATCTCACGGATCTACGGATCCACCACGGCACAACACAGCCGCACAGGGAGGGAGAGGGAACTGGGGAATGGAGGCTTTACGCTGCCGCGGCCCTGCTGCTGCGCCGTGCCGCCGCTTTTATGGCCGTCACATGCCGCAGTCGCCGCTTTTGATGCAATCCATCCATCCAACAGCACAGGGGCAACAGTGTCAGTGGTGCCGCGCGCAGCAGCCGAGCATCGTGTTCGTGCAGCCGCTGTGCCACCACCAGCCCACCATTCAAGCACGCGGGACCGCGGGAGCCCGGGACGGGACGCCGGACGCATTCGTTTTGATCATTTCCCCGGCTCCTCGTCGCCCGGCACGCGCCCTGGCCTGGACCTCCGCCACGGCCCCGCGCGCGCAGCAGGCAGGCGCAGGCAGAAGAGAACCAATCGGGCAGACAAGGCGACATCGTGAGTGGCATGGCGTTGGCATGCATCGAAAGCGGTGGCTCAGCGCTCCGTGCCCGATCGGTTCTTGGTTCAGTCGCCGTCGGCAAAGCGGGGCTTCGTCTTTTCTCTCTGTCTGTCTCGACGTCCGCCACCCCGGCCTCTCTCTCGACTCTCTCACTCTCACTCTTTTTTTGTTGCCTTGGCTGCTGCTCCACGCGTGTAAAGCTCACAGGGGCTGGCTCGAAGCCCCATTTGAGCCCACAGCAACCATGACCCTCTCTTTGGACTCGTAGGAAGAAATTTAGGATTTCTATTTGTATGGATTGACTTACTTTAACACCCCTCCGCAGAAGAAACGTAATTCTCGCTTCTCGAGAAACCAAATATTTTTAAATTTAACCAAAATTATAAAAAAGATATTTATGATACGAAGTAAATACCATTACATTAATTATAGAGTATATTTTTATAATAAATTGGTTTGGAGACATAAATATGAATACTATCCATCGAAACTTGAACTACTTTGACAGATCGTGATATCATAGTTGCATCCTTCATGGACGGAGGGAGTACTATTTGATTTTTATAGGATTCTTTTGTAGAAAAAAGGAAATTTTCTTTGTATTCAATTTCACAGAAAATTACAAGAAAAAACATCTACACAAATCTGACTGTTTCTTGTTTTCTATTTTTCCTACAATTAATCTAAAGACCTATTCTCATAAAATTCTTTTGTTTGCCACTCAGTCATATTCTATTTTTGTTTTTTTTTTCAATGGCATGTTCCAAAGAGGGCCTGAATATAATCTCAACCATCTTCGCGTCATTTCCATGAAGACCTCATCTTCTCGTTAGTATCATTTCGAAACTAAGTCAATTTCAACTTCGAGGTAGCCCCCCTCACCTACCCACCCCAAAGTTAGGGGCCGTTTGTTTGGGCTCTAGCATGCTCACCTCCGGCTCCTTCTTCACTGTTACTTCCTGTGCAGTCCTGTAGCGACGAAGAAAAAGCTCCGGCTCTTTCTAGCGTTTTGGGAGCCAATAAACAAAAACACGGAACTTAGTGACCGTTTGGTTTCTAGCGTTGTCTCGCCTTGACGCCTTGCTGGCATGATTAACGAGAAATTAAACTCAACATAGACAGGTGATTTGTTCTGGCTCTCCCACGCGAGAATTGAACCCACAGGCTTGCTTGGAATTCTTGCTCGGTAAGGCGACATAGTGCTGAGAGAAGGAAATAACAAACGAACACATCCTTAAGAGCAAAATTGACCGCTTACAATGAAAAGCTCAAAAGCATGCATGGTGACTCTGATGTCGAGGTAGGTCAATTTCATTCCCTCCCCCCCACCCACCACCACCACACACCCCCACCCCACCCCTCACTTATCTTGTTGTTGCCTAGTTTAGCTATGAAAAGCAATGATAACTCCACAATTTATCTTGAGTCCTACCAAATAAATTCATCGCTCATCATGACATTTAACGACCTTCACTTATGTATCTCATATTTGGTTCGAACTTATGACTCGTGCTCTTACGAGTTAAAACAACTCGCATCTATTAATGATATAGAGTCCAATTTCTAAACATATTTGGTTCCGTTACAATGTACTGACACATCTGCTAGTAAATATAAATTTCAAAGGTGGATACATTTTCCATGCCACTGCTACAACAACAAACCACGTAATAAACTGCTAATACAATGCCGAACTTAACGCTGAAGAGGTTCGAACAAAAGGCTCGACTTTAGAGGGAGCTCAGCTAGGCGTAACCAGCCAAACAGGCCAACCCTAACGCAGCCCAACAAGAACCAGTAAACCGCCCAGGTCAATGAATGTGAGCAACGAGGGTTGGGTAGCAGCGAGGAAAGCTGCCGCAGTCAAACAGCACATAAGCCAAAGCCACCAGGGCAGCAGCGATAGAAGCGAGCAGCGGCGGGGGCGAGGAGTGGAGGACGAGGACCAGGCCAGCACCCAGCAGCCCCGGCGGAGAGGCGTCCTCAATGGCAGCTGCAGCTTCGCCCGCCGCCGCCTTTCCCCACCTACTCTCCCTCTCCTCCTAATCCCCTTCCATTTCTCCCCCAACCCTCTCCCGCTTCCTCGCCAGTTGGTTGTTCCGCACCCGCAGCCGTCGCCGTCGCCGGATTGGGGGACGCAATGGAGCAGGTAAGCGAGCGATCTGGCCCGTTTCGGACTCGAGGGTTTTGATTTGGTTTCTCTGATTGAGCGTGTTCGGCTGTTCGCGTGCGTGCGTGCTGGCTGCAGTACGAGAAGCAGGAGAAGATCGGGGAGGGCACGTACGGGGTGGTGTACAAGGCGCTGGACAAGGCCACCAACGAGACGATCGCGCTCAAGAAGATCCGCCTCGAGCAGGAGGACGAGGGCGTCCCGTCCACCGCCATCCGCGAGATCTCTCTCCTCAAGGAGATGAACCACGACAACATCGTCAGGTCCACTGCGCCTGCGCTGTCCTCCCTCCTCCGTTAAACCGTGGGAATTCACTGAGCCATAAAAAAGATCGCAATCCCCTGTGAGCCACCGGAAAAGTTCAGCGGTCTTCAGCGCCACTGCTCTAACTTTTTTTTTCCCTCCATGTCACTGCCGTCAGATTGAGCTCTAACGTTCTCAAACTGTAGGTATGAAAAGTGGCTCTAACTTTTTTTCCTCCATGCCACTGTTGAAGACTGCTGAACTTTTTCAGTGGCTCACAGGGGATTGTGATCTTTTTTAATGGCAACAAGAAATTCTCTCCATTAAATTTCCCATTTTGCATTGCCCTGTTCTAGTTGTTACTACGACGGACTCAGGATCGATCGATCGGCGGACGCATCCGTGATCGATCGATTCGTTGGTCGGTCCAAGTGGGCAGTGCCTCCGGTTAGCTTTGGTGGTTTTATGCAATATTGGGTAGGTGTCGTTTTAGTATGGGATTCGTTCATCGGTGGAAATGATGATGTTTTGGTGTGTCCAGTGAAGGGTCCGTTTGGTTGGGCTTTTGGCTCCCAAAAGCCAAAAGCTCAACCAAAGGGCTGCTTTTTCAAAGCGGCTTTTTCGAAGCATTTGCTTTTTAAGTAGTACATTTTTGAAAGTTGGTTTGACCACGCTTTTGGCTTTTAACTTTTGGCTTTTTTTTTCGAAATTGGTGGAATAAAAAGCTATTCCATAGTTGTTTCAAGAGAGATAAAGATAGAAGGTATATTTTATACTTGTTTAACCAAACAGCTTTTAGCTTTTCTATAGCTCATAGCCCAAAGCAGTTTTTCCACAAATGACAAATTTCACACACAGCAGCTTTTTCCACGTACCACATGACTCAATCAAACACACCAAGTAAAGCAGTTCCGTTTGATGGTGTGATGGCCTGTAGTGTTGGTACTCTGAGAAGCTTTACTCTTCTGCGTGCAGGTTACATGATGTTATCCACAGCGAGAAGTGCATATATCTTGTCTTCGAGTTCTTGGATCTGGACCTGAAGAAGTTCATGGACTCATGCCCGGAGTTTGCTAAGAATCCCACTTTGATTAAGGTGAGAAGCGCAGAATATGATAGTTTGTGATTGCAAATCTACATCTTGCATCTGTTCAGTTCCGCATATAGATAAACTCGAAGTTGGCTCATGCATTTATTGATTACTGATTTGGTATATGCTAGCACAACTCGTTATGCTATTCTTGGAATTGAACTTGCAACGGAACAACGGCAATATGGAACTGAAAAGTAATCTAACTAAAGAACAGCTCAAGGTTGTAGAGTAGAGGCCCATCTAGTGTCTTCCTATTGCATGTTAAACCTTTTTTTGTCCCCGCCTATGTTGTCTCAACATAGCAGGTTCCAAGCCCTGGTAAAGGAGGAGGGTTGTGATAGACGTGGCGAGCCAACATTAAATCTAGCCATTCTAATGGAGATGAAACCTGAAAGAAAACCGTTGGGGCGTAACCCTCTTAGCGACGCGCCATATCGGAACCCAGGTATGGTGTTAAATGGGCAAGGGCCGGGTCGGCACCCCCTTGGTGACGCGCTGTGTCACGATCTGGGCATGGTGTCAAGTGAGCAAGGATCGGGTCGTCGCTTCCTTAGTGGCGCGCTACATCGGCGCACAGGTGTAGTGAAAAATGAGCAAGCGTCTTCATATCTGAGTCGACGGGTGCGAAGGGTAAGGAAGCTAGTCAAACCAACTAGGATCTGTTTAGATAGTTGGAATGTAGGGTCGCTTACAGGTAAGTTAAGAGAATTAGTTGATACCGCGACTAGGAGGCGTGTAAATATATTATGCGTTCAAGAGACTAAATGGAAGGGTCAGAATGCGAAGGAGGTAGATAATACATGTTTTATGCTTTGACACACAAGGACAGTAGCGAATAGAAATGGAGGAGTTTTGATTGATAAGAGCCTGAAGAATGGTGTGGTGGGAGTGAGAAGGCAAGGAGGTAGGATTATCTTAGTCAAGCTTGTTGTTGGTGATATGGTCTTGAACGTAATTAGTACGTATACCACCCAAGTAGGCCTCGACGAGTGTGCTAAGAGACAGTTCTGGGAAGACTTAGATGGCATAATTAGAGTTGTACCTAATAGTGAGAAGCTTTTTATAGGAGATCTTAATGGGCATGTAGGTACTACAAGCACAGGTTTCGAGGCAGTTCATGGAGGTTTTGGCTATGGTAGTAGGAATCAGGAGGGGGAGGAAATTCTGGACTTTGCGGTAGCTTTTGACCTGATGATAGCCAACACTTTCTTTAGAAAGAGAATCTCATCTAGTGACCTTGATGAGCTGGACAACACTCTAGCTGATTGACTTTGTCCTCGCAAGAAGAAAGGACAAACGAGCATGCTTGGGTTGCAAGGTGATACCGGGGGAGTGTGTTGTTTCTCAACATATGCTTTTGGTGGTAGACTTTCGTTTTCAGGTGCTTGCCCGTAGGGATAAACAAGGTAAGATTGAAAGAACAAAGTGGTGGAAACTGAAAGGGGAGACGTCAGAGGTATTCAGGGAAAAGGTTATTGAAAAGAGCTCTTGGAAGGAAGAAGAGGAGATAAACAACATGTGGGAGAAGATGACAACCAACATTCGAAAGGTGGCCTTAGAGTTGTGTGGAGTAACCAAAGAAAGTGGAGGCGAGGCTAAAGATACTTGGTGGTGGAACGAGGAAATCCAAAGGGCTATTAAGAAGAAGAAAGAATGCTATAGACGTTTGTAGCATTGCAGGAGTGTGGACAACATAGAGAAGTACAAGGTGGCAAAGAAGACTGCAAAGCGAGCTGTAAGTGTGGCAAAGGGTAGAGCGTACGGGGATTTTTACCAATAATTGAGTACGAAGGAAGAAGAGAAGGACATTTATAGGATGGCTAGGGTTCGTGAGAGAAAGACAAGGGACTTCAACCAAGTTAAGTGCATTAAGGATGAAAGGGAGCATCTCTTGGTGAAGGAGGATGAGATCCGACATCGATGGCAAGAGTATTTTGACAAATTGTTCAATGGTGAGAATACGGACACAACCTTTCAGTTGGATGACTCTTTTGATGACACCAATAGACGCTTTGTGCGGAGAATCCAAGAATCTGAGGTCGAAGAGACGTTGAAAAGGATGAAAGGAGGTAAGGCGATGGGACCGGATGGTATCCCAATCGAGGTGTGAAGATGCCTCGGGGACATAGCTATAGTATGGCTAACCAAGCTGTTCAACCATATTTTTCGATCGAACAAGATGCTTGACGAGTGGAGGAGAAGTATATTGGTACCGATCTACAAGAATAAAGGGATATTCAAAGTTGTACTAATTACCGGAATTAAGTTGATGAGCCATACTATGAAGCTATGGGAGAGAGTTATCGAGCCTCACTTGAGAAACAATAACGCTGGTCTCTATGAACCAATTTAGTTTCATGCCCTAAGGTCAACCATGGAAGCCATTTTCGTAATAAGACAAGTTATGGAGCGGTATAGGAGGACATATACATGGTTTTTATCGACTTAGAGGAGGCTTATGATAAAATATCAAGGAATGTTATGTGATGGGCTTTGGACAAACATAAAGTCCCAACGCAATCGTCGGGCTCATTAAGGACATGTACAATAATGTTGTGACTAGTGTTTGAACAAGTGATGGAGACACGGATGACTTCACTGATTATGATAGGACTACATCAAAGGTCGACTTTGAGTCCTTGTCTGCTTGTCTTAGTGATGGATGAGGTCACAAGGGACATACAAGGGACATCCTTGGTGTATGCTTTTCATGACGATGTAGTGCTAGTTGATGAAAGTCTGACAGAGTGAATCGTAAACTGGAGTTATGTCGTCGGAGACTTTGAAGTCCAAAGGTTTTAGACTCAAGAGAACTAAAACCGAGTATATGAGATGTGACTTGGCACTACTACTTGGGAGGAGGAAGATATTAGTTTGGAAGGTCAAGTAGTGGCTAGGAAGGATACCTTTCGATATTTAGGATCAATGCTACAGAGAGACGGGGATATTGATGAAGATGTTAGCCATAGAATCAAAGCAGGGTGGATGAAGTGGCGCCAAGCATCTGGTGTCCTATGTGACAAAAAAAGGTACCACAGAAGCTAAAAGGCAAGTTTTATAGGACGGCGATTAAACTTGCTATGTTGTATGGTGCAGAATGTTGTCCTACTGAAAAGACGACATGTTCAATGATTAGTGTCGCGGAAATGCGTATGTTGCGTTGGATTCTGATCATACAAGAAAGGATCGAGTTCGGAACGATGATATACGTGATAGATTAAGGGTAGCACCAATTGAAGAAAAGCTTGTCCAACACCGGTTGAGATGGTTTGGACATGTCCAATGGAGACCTCCAGAGGCACCGGTGCGTAGTGAAATCCTAAGCCAGGGTAGTAACGTGAAGAGAGGCAGAGGAAGACCGAAGTTGACTTGGGTAGAGACAATAAAAGGAGATTTGAAAGGATGGAATATATCCAAAGACTTAGCATTAGATAGGAGTGCTTGTAAAACAGCTATTCACGTGCCTGAACCTTGATTGCTTCTGCTGGGTTTCAACTCTAGCCTTCCCCAACTTGTTTGGGACTTAAAAGCTTTGTTGTTGTTGTTGTATTTGACGCGCTAGAATTTAGATAGAAGACAGAGATGAGTCCCATATCATCAGTTGAGCTCGATATATGCCATATTTGGCTGTTGTCTTCTCTCGTCGAAGCGTTACTGTGTTTTTATCTGAGTAGGAGAAAAGTGCTTATTTTGACTTTTTCTACTTACTAGGCTTGTCTTTGTAGTAACGTAAACCAGGATGTTTGACTTGGGAAGAAGGATCCATGGTTACATTTCCTCATGTACCTCTTTGGTATAGAACTTGTGGCACTGTAAACATTGTTTTATATTCCTATAACTTTGGAAATACCATCAACTTACATTATTGCAGTGAGTTTGGAGTTTTCATTCATATAGCCTCTAATGCCTCTCAGTAACATGGTAGGACCTGTTTATTTGTGACCCCATGCACTGCATATTTCCTTATAAGGTTATCTTGGGCTTTACAGAGCACATGGTTTTATCTCCTCAAGTAAACAGACACACTATCCTAGTGACTTTATCTCCTCAAGTAAGCAGACACACTATCCTAGTGACTTTAGATCAACTTTTTCTCCACAGTAACTCTGTGAATGCCAGATGTGTTAACTGTTATTGTCGATTCTTTGCTGTAAAGTGACTGGCAATGTAGCGTGACCATACCAGAACTGGGGATTCTCGTGTGGGTGCCACCGTGCCCCTGCTCCAGTGCCCACTATTTTTGTGTACTATGAACTCAGTACTGGTACTGCATTTGCTTCTTCCACTAGTTCTCTAACATGTTTTTAGGAATTAGCTGATCCCATTACACATTGCACTGTATTTAATGTGGCGCAACAGATTACTACTTACTTGGTTGGAGTGTGTTATATAGTGAACAAGACTAACGTAACTAGAAGTTTTTTTCATCCTATTTATTTATTTATTTATTTCCCTTTCCTCATTTTCATTTTATCGCGTAAGCAGAAAATGAATGAGATGCTTGTGGATGCATTTTGAAATGTGACTATTGTCTTCTTTCTGCAGTCATACCTCTACCAGATACTCCGTGGTGTTGCTTACTGCCATTCTCATAGATTTCTTCATCGAGATTTGAAACCTCAGAACTTATTGATAGATCGGCGTACTAATACACTGAAGCTTGCAGACTTTGGTTTATCCAGGGCATTTGGAATTCCTGTCCGTACATTCACTCATGAGGTACATTTGCTATGCTCTAACTCGAGAAAGGGAGTTTGAATTGTCCTGCTAGGGAAAAAATATTGTGAGGCATGCCAAAATTATGGATCCCTGCGATTTTATACCCATATATGACATAACTTTTTGTTGTCTATTCTAGTCACATTAACTCACAATACATATCTATGGAAGTATTTTTCAGGTAGTGACATTATGGTACAGAGCTCCAGAAATTTTGCTTGGAGCGAAACGGTATTCGACACCAGTTGATGTATGGTCTGTGGGCTGTATCTTTGCGGAAATGGTAAACCAAAAGCCACTATTCCCTGGTGATTCTGAGATCGATTTAACTGTTTAAGATATTCAGGTTCTATGATTGTGCTGGCATTAAGTTTCTTATTTTGTAGTATTTGCATATTTTAGACTATCTGATTTTGTTTGTATCATGGTTACTGTTGAAGGGTACTAGGCACACCAAATGAACAAAGTTGGCCAGGAGTCAGTTGTTTGCCTGACTTCAAGACTGCTTTCCCCAGGTGGCAGGCTCAGGTAAGACAACAGCATAAGCATTTTGCTGGGCACATGTGGCAAGTGCATTGTGTATCCTCATCCTTAGGCCATAGCTTACAATTTGTGTTGTCATATATATATATATATATATATATATATATATATATATATATATATATGCCACTAAAATCCCCTGTTTGTGCATTCATTCCAGGACCTGGCAACAATTGTCCCAAACCTTGAACCTGCTGGTTTGGACCTTCTCTCGGTAAGTCAAATGGAGTTCTGTTGATGATCATGAATGCTGCATCATATATCCTCACTGTATTGAATTCACCTATTTCTGTTTGCTGACAGAAAATGCTTCGATATGAGCCAAGCAAAAGAATCACAGCTAGGCAAGCACTTGAGCATGAGTACTTCAAGGACCTTGAGATGGTACAGTGAAATGCTAAATGTGCCTGACGTTGCATTGGCATTTGTATGAGCTGAGTCGCTCTGTTGCTCGTTCCTTTTATGAACGCCTGTACTCTCGTTCTCTCTCTGCATTTTTGTCATTCAACTGGATATTTTGAATCTGGCGTGTTTTGAGATGTATTAAGGAATGTCAAGTAGATTACCGCCGTTGTCTCTATTTATTGAATGTAAATATCCGATACAAGCGTGCGATGCGTTTTAACTTTCATCTTTTCCCATGTTATTATATACTAACTGCACACCAACTTTGCTCAGGATCTCACAAGGAATAGCAAACAGTAGCACGCACACACAAAAGACATTATTATGATAGCCATTCGCTAACGCATGGTAACAGTATTCTGAGATTATATAGTTGATGAGCTCGAGCCTACCAAGTGTTCAGTTGCTGTATAAATTAAAGAATAGAAGTGGCCCCTTAAACAATATGGCTTTCTGAACTGAGACAAGAAACATCGTGGAACAAAAATAAGACGATAATTCACATACTAAGTTACCTAACATTACAAGTGAAACTTTTTATCTTTACAATGGCTGGGTGCAGACATAAAATTATCACACAGGCGACATGTCGTATTTGCTCGTTATCGTGTCTTCTTCAGGATAGCTGATGTTCGCATCTCAGCATCTTCCTTGGCAAAGCTCCACCAAAGGAACGACAGGGGGATAGCCACAGCAAGGCAGATAGCACGGCCATCTACATATCCCCATCGCGGAGGAATGTCATAAGCTTCCAGAAGTACTGCAGCCGCACCTCCGATGGCAACAAATATGATCTTCAGCCGTGAAGGATGCCGAGTCATGACAGCCCACAGTGCCCATAGGAGACACTGAGCAATGCTTATCACAGTACAAACCTTCATGTTCAGGCCTGCAGAGTTTACAAGCATGTAAGCCACTGACGCGTTAAATTCAATAGTGCTACATTTGTTCGCTGCTGAATCTCCATATCCCATGAAATAGGAAATAAAATTCGTTGTTATAAGGTAACAACTAACAAGTTCAAATAAAGCACCATGCTACCTGCCTACTATGGAACAACAAACAAATTCTTGATCCCATCAAGTGGCGAGCTTAATCTCTCAAGGAACTAAAATTCGATTTAAGGCCCCTTTGGAACAAAGGAAAAAATGGAGGAATTCTAGAGGATTGGAATCCTAAAGGTAAATTTCCTATGAAGCCCTTTGAGCATTAGCATTGGGTTCCTACAAATCCTTCGAAAATTCCAATGGAATGGCTTGTTTCATAGGAATTTTGGAGGAATTCTACCAAGAGGCTGAACCTCATGGAAATTGGAAAGGTTCCTTTGTGTCACTCATTGAATTCCTGTGTTTTTTCTGTGCTCCATCCAAACGTTCAATCTTGCAATTTCCTAAGGGCATGTTTGGAACGCATGAATTTTATAACATATGAACAGGAAAAAATTCATGTGTTCCAAACAGGACCTAAGTATTTTCAATCCATAGGATTCAAGATGTTGGGGTATTATATTCCTATATATGTTTTTCCTATTCCTGCGTTTCTAGAATCCTGTGTTTCAAAGAGGTTCTAATTTTTTTTGTTCACAAAACTCAGTAACCAACCATTCAGGTACTGAGATTCCAATCTATACCCTGAATTAACTTGTAACTAGCATACTGATGGCATTTTAGATATCATAATCTGAGCTACATACTTAGTGCTGGGAAAAAACAAAGTGCACAGAAACAATACCGCTATTTTCATAATATATCAGGAGTGCAGTTGTCAGCTGTCATGCTCAATATTACCTTTGTCAAGTTCGTAGAAGTTGAGGTATAGAATGTGGGTTGTCACAAAAGCCAGAATAGGAGCGGCAACCATAACTCTAGAAGCTACGTCTCTTAAATTTAAAGTCCGCAGGATTGCCAAAATGAAAGAATACCCCAGAAAGGCAGCAGCTGATGAAAAATATAGCTTTTCTGTCCAAGTTGTGTCACTGCAATAGATACCACATCTTGGTCAATGAGTTAGCAACAGACAATTCATCTGAAAAGATGTATCCATTGTGATAGAGCCTACCAACTGTGATATATGGCACTCCAGAACCATGAATTCATGGCAAGCAGCCCATAAATGTGCCACAAGCCAGTGTATTCATAGTATGTCTTGTGAGTTTCTGGCCGTAGAGGAAGCTTATAATAAAGCAAGAGGAAAAACGATAGCCACCCATTAAATTGCACAACAAGAGTAAGAGCAGAGAGAGATGCAGATAAAGGTTCCTGGGAATGAAAGCAGAGGCATATAGTTAGGAAGTGAAAAGGAAACAAAAATTGAGAACACCAGTTCAAAGCTGCAATGGACTACCTGAAACACAGAGGCACGCTTCAGAGGCCACTTTCCATGATACTTAACAGGCTGAAGGCCAAGCTTTGCCCTTTCATTCTCCCTTTCCATCATACAGTGGTATCTGCATTCACTCTTGCAGTTCCAGTCCTTCCATTGCAAGTACAGTGGCTCGTGCGTGTACCATGATTTGTCAGCAGGTTGGCCATCGGTTGGCACCATACAGTGTTTGATTGAAGTTTCCTTCAGGGAGCCTGTCTTTTGGCATCCTTCCACACAAGCTCTGGTAAAACAATGGGAACATGAGTAATCAGTGGTGCTCATTTGTCATCAAGTAGGACCAAATTAAGTGCTGGAACAATAATTAGCGAGTCATAACAGGGCTTAACTGTTACTAGATCTAAAAAAGAAGGGCTTAATCATTGGTACGGAGAGATGGTGACCTGGTTCTCTTTTAAAGCCCACCATTGCTATTGTCTGCTGGATTCAGCAAAATGGTACTGAATCTGATTTCAAAGTCAGGATTAGAATTGGGATGGCAGCAAAGCTACCTATGTTCCTCCCTCCGCGGGAGATTTGGAACAGATTTGATTGAGAATAGGACTACAACACGCAGTTTTGCTAGCTCAACCTTTGGGACCGTACCATGAAATCCTGATAGAGCTGCGAATAATGTAACGTAACCAGGACTTACGCCCACAATGGCATAGTATACCCGAGAGGTGAAGACAGACCACGCCTTTGTTTTTTCCCGAAACCGCTGGCAGGACTCTGCCCAGCATGTATTGACAGACAAGAGATTTTTTAAGTGAAATTACAGAGAGATTTTTTAAGTGAAATTACAGACAGAATAGAAAAGAAACTTTAGCCAGAGAGGGCTTGACCACTTTAGCCAGAGAGGGCTTGACCAGCAGAAACCACCAGAGGGACCAAGACAGACAGCACTGGAAGAGCTATGGTTTACCCTGCTCCAGCCAGGCTCTGCTTGGCACCGTGCAACTAAAGCTGAGCAAACTCCGAAGGCTCGCGCATAAATAGACGAACGTAATCTGCTAAGTTTCATCAGGCTTTGGGTGAGTCGTCAGTCGCAAGCAACGTAGAACTGATCGCAGATAACAGCAGTAGAAAACGCGCGCTAATCTCAACCAGTGCGGCGCCTCGCGTCACTCCCGCCGGCGGTGGATTAGAGAGCAGGTAGGGAGAGAAGGGAAAGGCGTGTACAGTGCTATACTCGTAGTGCCCCCACCACAGACAGACGGGACGACGACGCAAGGCGGCAGCAGCAGCAGCAGCCATCCGTGGGAGAGGGAGCGAGACCAAGCAGCGTGCAAAGGAAAGCAGCGGAGGAGGAGGGAGGGAGGGAGGATCTCGTACCTGTAGAGCGGATCAGCGTCGCCCTCGGAGGCTTCCACGGCGACGGCGACGACCGCAGAAGCGAGGGCGAGGAGCAGCAGCCACGGCCTCCGCCCGAGGAGCCCCATCCCCCTACCCACACGCGGTCGCGCTGGCGGCCTAGTGGGCGAGGCGGAGATCCATCGGCGCGGGGGATGTTTGAGAGGGGGGGCAGGGCGGACAGGGGAGGGGAGGAGACTTTTCTCTCTCCGGGACGCAGGGACGGGGAGGACGGGAGGGGTGGTGCGTGCGCGTCCTCTCTCCTCTCCTCTGTGTGTGTGATTGATTCTTGCGTGCGTGCGTGTTGTGGGAGGGGGTGGGGGGGGGGGGGTGGGGGTGGGGGTGATGCGACGACGACGACAGGCAGCCGGGCGCGGGGAGGGAGGAGGCCTGGAGCCCTGGGAGCCTGGAAGGGACGGGACTCGCGTCTGGGTGTGCGTTCGCGGCGTGTTCTTTTGCCTGGCGTCCCTTGGTTGGTCCCGATGTGTCTTGACTTGCGTGTGCTCTGCTCCGCTTGAGCTTTTTGGGTAACGCCCTCACGAGACCGGTGCGCGCGCATAACTGTTTGATGCTGCGACTAAAATTGAAGAGCTGTCACGCGAGGGTGGGTCGTACGGGGTGTTTAATATTAATAAAAAAATAAATTATAGAATCCGTCAGTACTCAACGAGACGAATTTATTAAGTCTAATTAATCCTTCATTAGCATATGTTTACTTATCAAATCATAGACTAATTAGTCTTAAAAGATTCGTCTCGCAAATTAGTCGTAAACTATGTAATTATTTTTGTAATTAGTCTATATTTAATACTTCATGCATATGTCAAACACATGATGGGACAGCGACTAAACTTTAAGAGAAGCAACCAAACACCCCCTAATGCTGGTGCACACAACGCGCACCACGGCGCATCTGCAAAAAATCAAACAAATCCGCTCTCTGAAGAGCGCTATAAAAAATTTGCATCTTGATTTTATTATTCCTTCTGTGTCACCGACTAATTGTGGGATCCCATGTTTCATGCACATAATGATTGCATATTATGAGTTTTCTCGATGGCATATAAAAAAATACCCTTCTAAAACCGTGTTTAGACAAAGCCTCTTAATTGAAATGAAATTTGTACAAAAAGACAGTGATATCTATCGCTACTAGTATGTTTTACAGTATTTTTTTCTAAAATAGTAAATAAAGATATTGTTTTCTATGAGCTTAAAGATAGTTTGATTTGATTCGTAAAAGGAATTGAAATTATTTGACTTAGACAAAATCT